CTCTTCTTAGAGCCTAGGATCTAGCCTTAAGGTTTCCTACCGACTCTCTTAGAGGATTAACCTGAGACCCGCACTAACAAGAAATTGGAGCCACTTCTTGACTCATCGCAGTTTCATGTGACCGGTTCTAAATCCTCAGCGCTTAGTTGAGTCAATTAAAACCAGTATGACGAAGCTCGAGTCGAGTATCATAGGGCCTGAAACCATAATAAACCCTTTCGTGTCGTCCGCGCACACTCACGATACACGAATATCACAGTTCACACGTCGATGCACACAATTATTGAAATTCACGTCACCTGCACCTGTAGAAGGCTCCACAATTGATCGAACTCGAGTAGATTGCTGGAACAATCGTTCACGAGCGAGAATTTCGTGGAGATTTGAGTTTGATGCGTTTTCGGCCCGGCCGATCGACGAAGTCGTCCGGGCGACCCCAGATGATAAAACGGACCATGCCGGCCTGTCCGTGAAGTCAAATTTAGCTTGGGAGGATACCCATTTTGATATGGTTTCGTGCACAGGCGAAAGTACGTGAATTAAAGAGTGGGAGCTTGGGAGCTGCACCTCCTGCTAGCCCACAATTGAGCTCACAAACTCATGGGTCATAGGTAGCATCACAAGCTCTCCCATGGAGCAACTGCAAGGTGCAAATAAGGGAGGTAGCTTGAACATTTGAGCCTGAAATTTGGTTGAGTGCTTTTGGTTTAATCGACATTGCTAAACCATTATTAGCCCTAATTCACACTCACGCACACTATCCTTCCCCTCCCCCGATTCTTCTCCTTCGGCTCGTGCGAACCATAATCACGCCTCTCTCCCTCGGGTGAAGCCCTAACCACATCCGTCTCTCGAATTCTCTCATTCACGTGACGAGGAGTTGACTACCTCTCTCCCTCTCTCTGTCTCTCTCTCGACATTCTCTGCCCGAGTTGTTTCTTCCCGAAGCGCCTTTTGCTTCGACTTGCTGCACGGGAAGCTCTTTCGAGGTAAGTTGACTTTGGCGCCTTTGTTCGCTGGGCCACGAATGCAACATTTCTTCTCCTTCCCGATAACTTCTACCTCTATGGCTTTTGCTGAGATGGTTTCCTTTTGCCAGCTCGAGCTTTGGGTTGGCCTCACCCACCGGTAAGCTGTGTTATTTCCTCTCCTCCCCTCCTCTACTATAAAAACCCCTCTTGGGGAAGGGTTGTGAGGTTATAAAAATTGGGAGCTTGGGGAGACTGCCGAAATTGCTTCTCGTGCTTGTGAGCTTGGTGTTTGGGAAGTCGTGTGATTTTCTTCTGTTGTTTTGCAAAAAGCTCAGGCAAGGTACTTGCTCTTCTCCTTCTCTGTTCTCCCCTCTGCTCGACAGAAGCTGTGATGTTTTCTTCTTTGCTTGACAGGGAATACATGCATGCGAAAGTTTAATTGTTCGGCTGGTACATCATACTGAGGCTGCTCTTTAGCTGTTAAGTTTTTAATGTTTCTTTGGCTTTAGTTTAAATGCTGCATATTGCTGGGCCTGTTTTAAATCCTCTATGATGTTTAACTTGAAATGTAGACTTATCAGAAATGCATGGTTCACTTCTTATGCATGTGCAAGCTTTCTTCTTGTGTTCCTATCACATCTATATATCACATCTATATCACATCTATACTGTGCATCGAAGTTTGAGGACTGTTTTAGCCTTATGGGCTGCGGTTTTCCTTCCTGTGTTGATTTAACATTGAGGTTTTTTGGAAATTTTACTTTGGGGGGCTTTGTTTTATGCTTCTCTGTTTGCCCCCCTCTGTTCGGAGCATATTCATGTGGCTTTCATTTAATTTTGGGGCTTTTGGAGGTTTGGCTTTGAGGCTTTGTTTGCTTACTTTTATGTTCGGAATGCATATGCAGTTGGAATTTGTTTTTCTGAAACTTTATGGAATTTGATTTAGGGGCTCGGTTTTGCCCTCTGTGGCTGCCTTCCCTGTTCGAAATACTGGTGCGTCTGGAACATTGGCTTTGAAAAGTGACATTTAGCTTCTCATGACTATATTTATGACACCAAAATGTTATAAATGTAAATATGTAAATTTATGTGATAGTGTTGAATTTCTGTTTCAATCATAACAAAGAACATAAGACATACGGGTTGAGGTTCTGCATCGTCACTAGTATTGAGGTGGTTCTTCCTAGGTGATTGAAAAAGTGATTATGCCAAAAACCTTGAAAGTTCTTCCCCTAAAATAACAAATGCTATGAGAATAAAGTTAAAATTTTAGTGGGGATTGCTTCAAAATTTTTGAAAGAAATGTGAAATAAAATATCCATTAAACTACTTACATTCACTAACATATTTATAATGATGATTATGTTCACACCTATTTTAGCTGAGATAACTAGAAAACCTTGTTGTGAATTATTTAGTTTTCAAAAATTATAATTTTTAAATTTTTTTGGTGGCATATTTTCTTGTGCATGAGGATGGATAAGTTATCATGATTTTCTCATAATATTATTAGTAATAATTTACATGCCAAGACTACTATAAATTTTTTTGAGGCTACCAATCTATAGATTATTTTTGCAAATAATGACTTAGGTATTCTCAAAGTATTAGATATTTAATATATTCATTTTGATAGTATATATTCATGATGATTATTCTCTTGAACAATGAAAGTGATAATTTAGATTTTCTTTTTGTAGTTTTGATTTTGTGTTATTTTTGGCCACCGAAATATTTAGAATTTAAAATCTCCATAAAAATATTAGTTTTAATTAATTTAATAGTTTATAATCAAATGGTTGATGCAAATTTTGTGGGAATGATGCATTTGATCTTTGAACATTTTAACTTTCTTAGTTAGGGAATTTAAATAATTTTTTGGGCTGAATTCTTTTATTTACTTGAGTAGGCTTGAATTATTTCTTGAGAGCATTAAGTGCCTCATTAGTAGTTTTTTTCACTTATGCTCTTTGAACTAGATCAATATATATATGAACTAGATCAATATATATATATATATATATATCACATATATAAAGAACAAATTTTCTAGGAGGAAGCCCTATAAATAAAGTGTTATAATAGCTTAGTATATGCTCCTAAAAATTGTTGACCCTCTATAGTGAATATTTGAAAATATCCTTTTCTCCTTTATTTTGGAAAATTGATGAATTGAGGCATCAATGAACTTCCAATTTACAATAAATTATCCAACCAAAAAATGATGGGATTAAAAAAGTTGTAGATAACCTTATCAAAGTGATAATATAATCAAGTGCTAGTTTGATTTTGAAGCACACTCTAAAAGACTTGGCAAATGAGCATATCAAAGGCCCGTTGAATATGCATGATAGTCTTGTAATAATTGTTGTGCTCTTAAATATCAAATAACCCATCAAAAAGCCCCATTATAAGAGTTAATTTAAATTCTACTAAAATGGGATGTTAGAGATTAGCATGAGCCACAAGCAAAATATTTTTTAAGCCTAAAATAACAAGTAAGTTGATTTGATCATTTTAAGTGAATTTAAATTAAAAAAAAAGATGTTCAATTTATCTCTTATAATAGCATGAGAGATAACAATGGGGTGAGACCAAATCCATCATTGGTGTTCGAGAGATTGTGAGCTAGTTGCACACAAGCAAAATGGCTTGAATTGACAGTGTTAGTGAAAGCATGATCACATTATATTAGAAGAGGAACTTTAATATGACATTATGAAGATCTTATATGAGTGATCTTATCTTGTTATTGATTTTATAATGTGTGATTTTCTCCTTATTTTAATGTCACTATTTTTTAGAAAGGTTCATATAGAGTTAAAAATATGAGATTTTTGCTCCACCTTATAAAGATGATCTTCTAAAGTTAGCCCTAAATTGTGACCATTACTTTTATAGTATTTGGTTGCATTTGTAATAATTTAATTTTAGATTTAATAAGACTTGCATATTTATTTCATGTGTACTAATTTTTTGAGTTTTTAGAGTTGATTTTTATGTTTGGTTCACCAATTTTTTATAGTTTTAATTTGGATAAAAAAATTAATATATTGAATTTGACCTTATTGTAATCAATTAATTTATTTGAATGTATTCTATGTCCAATTTATAAATCATTCTTACCACAATGTTGATCATTCTTAATTTTATTTTTAATACATTGTTACCTATTTTTAAGTAGGGCTGTCAAAAAGGCTCGTTGTTTGCAAACAGCTCGTGTTCGGCTCG